TGCTGCGATAGTGTTTTGAGCCAATTACAGAGCTGATCAACGCCATGGCATGTCCAAATACAAACCTTTGGTAGTTTTGGACGGAGCTCTTTCTTTCTCTCCTTAGTAAAACATCCACTTAACAGGCGATGCCAGATATGAAGAGCCACGCGGAGTCGTTCAAGAGGAGTCTCACTGATGTGTTTTGTAGTCTAAGTTAAACAAGAAAAAAAGTATAAAGTTAATCCGTAAGTGAACAATGCACTTAATTCATAAAGGTAGTTCTTACTCACAACATACAGTAGGCAACTTACAATTTCGTCGCCAAGTCCATCGAGTAGCTCAGGAAGCAGAGCAGGTTCACATCCTTCAAGTAATGACACTACAAGACAGTAACCCTGTTCGACAGCGTCATCACTCCATGAAGCCTTTCCTTGCTCCACTAATAACACCTCTGTCATTCTGCTTTGATAGTCGTCATTTTCCTTTTCAACATAAGACTCAGTATTCTTCGTAATATCGGTAAAACTGTTATGGTTAAGTTCGAGTAATCTCAAGAAGTGAAGCGTGGAGGCGAGAAGTCGAATGTGAAAATCATCTGGTAAATGTAGCTCCAGATTTGAGCATGACAAACACACCACTTTGAGAAATCGGAGACTGGAATGTAAACTTGCAACCTGAGGAAAGAAGAAAACAAGTAATCAGTAATTGTTTAAGAGCTCTACTTCAAGTACTTTTTGATAAATATTCATTATCAATCGGATATTAGAATCTGACGAACCAATTTGATGGCTGAGTAATGCGTTAGCTCAAGGTTTACTGCAAAGAATCTAGTTCTCATATTGCTTCAGTAGGTTCATTTTGATGGTTCAATGGAGGGCGCTTATTGGAGAAGGAGCGCCTATTAGGAACGGATCCCTCATTTCCTTTTGAACACATACATCTGAATGTGTTACAATACTACTTAAATAAAACACAACAGATACTTTTGACTCAAGAACTGTAACAGATAGGGGCTCTGATAGTCATAACGCTCAACATTACTTTCAACTGAGAAAACAGACTTCAAAATTCATTCGTTTTTTCAAAGTCAATGACTTCCGTGTCACTTTCGATATTGGGGCGCTCATTAAAACCACGACACTCAATGGGGAGAGCTTATTAGAAAGGGGGCGCTTATCGAAAAGAGGGGCTAAATCGTATCATTATGGTAATGTAAACGGCAGGAAGCATAAATGTACCTCACTGTCGTTGAATGCAATTTCTAAACGCGGTAGGTCCCGCTTGAACACGTGATGAATGGCAGCTGTCAGTATGACGTCAAAGACATCCTGCAACTTGCATTCCTTGTAAACCTCCTTTACGCGCTTTAGTTTCCTAAACAGTCATCATGTAAAACCATAACTAGTTATAAATAAAGTGACTAAGTCGACACTGCGGAGTAACAAAAAATATCAACAAAGTAATTTAGCCGAATACCTGGACTGTTCGGAAATTGCGTAAATGTGAAGTACAGATGTGAAGCAATCGATCAAAACGGGAGATTGACAAAGAACTTCGTGTAACGTGTTTTTGTCGACATCTTGATCTTTCTTTCCTTTCTGTTTTCTCTGTGATGCTCTGATAATTGCTCTCACTAACTCGAGCAGAGCAGGGCCAAGTTTTATTGCGATATCACAGGACATCCTTATCATTTTGCTAGAGGAGGTCTTGTTAGAGACAACCTGAATAAGGACGTATCGGTAAACATTAATACCATAAATCCTCGAATTAGCGCCCGGGGCGCTTATTTCAAATTTATGAGAAGACAGGGGGCGCTTATTCGAGGGGGCACTTCATTGAGGGGGAGCTTATTAAATTTTTCCCAAATCGTAGCCTGACATGGTCATTTTTCAATACGTCATATCCGCATAAACAGCAACATAAGCTGTTTATCGACATAAAAAGCTGATCCTAAAGCTTATTTTTTTTCCAAACTTAACATGTTCACAAACTGAAACAATGTACAAATCTAATACTACACGATGAAAACTATACATCCTTTGTTGTCTCATTACTCGTCCACAAAATAGGGGGAGGGGAGGGGGGCGCTTATTTTAAATTTTGGTCGATGGGAGGGGCTTTTATTCGAAGGGGG